AAGGACCCACCTTGACACAGGCATTCTGAGAGACTTTAAAACCAGTTGCTACAACTACCCCCAACCTATGCTCTGTGCATAGATAAACCCTAGAGGGCCTGCCAAGATCCTAGGGAGACTTTACTTCATCAAAGAAGAACCCACAGTCCCTTCTGGTTTACCTCTGCTCAGATGAAATGCCTCCTAAAGTGGAGAACACGCAGTTCCTGTGATCAATGATGCTAGAAAGAAGAGATCTGTGGTGTGTACGACTCCCTAGGTCCTGAACCCCACGTATATACCAGTCCAAGCAGGGAAGAGGATGGTGCTTGCCAGTGGCCTGCTATGGGCTGAGGCTTTGGGGGGTTGTGGAAGAAAGTTGGCTCAGCTCAGTGTTTTCTTCAAAGTAACATTGGGGCTGGGAAGTTTGACGCCTCCTCTGGTTGCATTTTGCTTTTGCCACTGATGAGATCTTTCTTTTCCTAGAAATGCTTAGTGTGGGACAGGCTTGAGGCAGAGTTGTGGAACAGAAGCTTTTCAGGAAGCTTTTTCTTACACATGATCTCCCTTGGCCTGAGAATATTTTGTTGAGAAATACTGCTCCGAGAGTCCATTCCACCAACACTTCCTTCATCTAGACAAAGAACGTGTCAGGCAGAGCAATTCATACTAGAATGTGAATGTGAACAGATCCTGACAATATCACAATGCCTAGTTCCATTTGTGCAGGGATGTACCTTCATGTCTGAGGAGCTGGTGAGGTCCCCAAGTGACAGAGGGAAGCACAGCTTGTGCTCTGTGAGGGATGGGGAACTGTTATCTCCAACAGGAAAAGGTTGTTTTGATTAAAGCTCACCTTCTCCCCCCCCCCCCCATTTGTTAAAATACCAGCATCGTTCGTCAATTGTGATTTCTTTCAAGGCAGTGAGGTAGTAGCCACACCCATGACCACACAACTCTAATTTCATAAAGTGTTCTTTGTACAGGGCATCACTACACCTTTCTCCATATTCTTCGGGATACCTCCATCATCTGTCTACTGCAGACCCTGCTTTGGAAAGAGTCGTTTGTTCTGCTGTCTGGCAGAGCCAGGGCGACAGCCCCAGTCATTTCTTCTCTGAACTAAGAAGTCTTTCGGTTTCTTCTGTTTCCTCGGACTTGGTTACTTACCTACTTGGTAAAACTTCTTCAGACTCATCCTTCCTCCTCCTGCTTTAAGAACCACCACGTTTAACCCACCAGGCATTTTCTCCTCCATAGAGATCATAATCTCAAGTGTTACGCTGTATCTCATGTACCCAGGCAGATTTGTAGTATAGGTTCTAAATTCAGGCTGAGAAAGATGACTGTGTTTTTATTGGGGAAAGGTATGACGGAGAGCAAGGACAGCTGTTTTTTTTAGCAACTTTGAAAAAATGAGATAAGGGATAGAAGAAAGGGAGCCAGACATTGCAGCTGGAGGGGTGGGGGTGTGTGTAGGGGATGATAACAGCCATCTAGGAGGGAAGAGAGGAACAGATGTAGTAGGAGAGGAGTTGAGAGCCAGCTTGGGAGCCCAGGTGAGCTGTGGATGGAAACCTTCCAGCAGAGTGGAGTGAGGTACTGCAATCCCCAGGTTACAAAGCCGTGTTTGAGCTGAAGGATTCTAAGCCAACCACTGACTTCTTAGAGGAAGTAGTCCTGTGGTGTATGCTGCATGGGAAGTGCAATGTGATATCATCAGGGAGAGGCACTTCCTGTCCGTTGAAGCTTCAAGCTTTTGTCTTGGAGGGTTTGGTATCAAAACCGACCCCTGCTGTTGGATGTGAAGAGCATTTGCTCTGAAACGCAGTGCCTGCCCTCTCTGCAGGGCAATAGGAAATGCTCCACAGGGGCAGAGCCATTGATGGGAGGAGCAAAAAGGCAGAGTTTTGGTGAGTTATGTTTGACTCCATCTTCACAGTGTTGGGAAATGGGGAGCAGACAGACCCTGTGCTTATCCAGGAATTGGACATCGTCTTCTGATCTCTGAGGGTCACTGCACACATGTGGTACACATACATACATACATACTCAGGCACACAATACACATAAATAAGTACATAAATATTGTAAGTTCCTTTGAGGACAGACCTAGAGGTAGAAAACATGGATTTATCTTAGTTTCAACATTAATACTCAAATTTTCAAAGTTAAATTTCAAGCAGAAGATCAGATTAAAATAATATAGCAACTGGGCAGTGGTGGCACACACCTTTAATCCCAGCACTCGGGAGTCAGAGGCAGGCGGATCACTGTGAGTTCGAGGCCAACCTGATCTACAGAGTGAGTTCTAAGACAGCCAGTACTGTTAGACAGAGAAACCCTGTCTCAAAAAAACAAAAATAATAGTAATAATATGACAATTTTAAGTCTAGCACATTTAAAAATACTTATAACACATTGTTATCCCATTTACAAGTTTATTAGGCCAAACATCTCTAACTAATTTAAACACTACTTATTAATTTAATGTATCTGATTTTTCCTTCTTAAGTACTTTGACCAAAACCCTCCCAGGTTATGAATTAATTCTTACAAAGTTACTTTTCCTTGGGAATTTCAATGTTACAGATAGGCTTAGAAATTATATATAAAGTTAGTAAGGATTTTATTTAAAACTGCAAATCTAATTACACTGTTAAAAAAGGAAGATCTGAAGGAGACAGGGATGGAATTTTCTTGATTTATTTTCACTGTTGTTATAAAACAAGGCAATTCTGGGATTGTGAGATAGCTCACATGTTGCTTTTCTAGCAAGGGACCCAAATTTAAGTCCCCCCACACACGTGGCAGTTCACAGCTATCTGTAATTCCACTTCCAAGAGGGATTCAGTGCCCTCTCTGGTCTCTGAAGGCCCCTTCTTGTGGTGTCTATAAACTCATGCAGGTTCACACACATAAATAAAAATGAAGTCAGTTAAAAAAATAACAAGATAATTCTATTAAAAAACTTCACAAAGCGTACATCGTATTCCCATACTGTTTATTTTTTAGCACATTTTCAGACTTTGTTAGTGGATCCTTTTGAATCCTACATAATAGCTTGAGTTAGAAAAGGCCCAGCTACTGCACTGAGATACTGACTGAGATACTGACTACTATCTCTACTGACTACTATCTTCAAGGTATTCAGAGATCTTCCGAACACCATGTGACCTTAGAATCAAGATGTTAGCACAGAACAAGCAAAATGAGGTTGCGGACCACCCACATGCAGCGTGCCTTGGGCTGTTAGAAGCTGAAGCAGCACGGCCTCTAATGTGGTCTTGCAAAGTTTCCACAAAAACCAAGTGCTCACAGAGGTAGCTTGTGTCTGTCCTGGAGGCATTTGCCTGTAACCTCAGCACTCAGGAAGCTGAGGAAGGGGGATCCTGAGTTTGAGGACTGAAGCACATAGCTAAGTCCGTCTTCAACAAAGCCAAGTAAAGCAAAACAAAACAACAACAAACCCTCAAACTAGGTGGGAAGGAGAATGAGACATTATGGAATAAATCATTCTTTTCATCTCCTAAGTCACAATCATTTCCTTTCCTCTAGCACACATAAGTAGGGAGAAGAGTCTAGACAGTGGCTGGGAAAACTGTCCTTCATATTGTCAGTCTTGACCAGCAATCTCAAGTCACTGTGTCTACATGATACTTTGTGCAGTAGTCTGGGCTGAGAAAGGCAGTGTAAAGCCATTGGCTTAAACAAGATTTCAATCTAACTTTCTCCTCTCAGGCCTGGGTAGGCAGGTGGTTGTGGAATAGTAGATGGAGCTGGATCATGAGGTCACTCAGACTTCTAGGTCCTGCTAGCTCATTGCTCCTCATTCCTTTGGAGTGTGGCCCTTATAGTTGTGGTTGAAACTGGCCTGGCAAGGTCAGTATGTTACAGTGTTCAAGAGGAGAATACATTCAGTCAAGATGTGCTTCTTGTATAGCTCCATGACTAGAACAAAGATTTTTGTTGCTGAATGAGAAACTATCCTATGCCTGGCCAGAGGTAAGATCCATGTGCTGTTGTTGCACTGGATGCCAAGGGAGCTTTTCCTTAAAATACTCATCTGCATTTCTAGCACTAACTGTTCCACTTGCACGTATTCGTTATGTCTCCATCTCCTTGAGTAATGGAAAGGAACAAACACTTATTTTGGCTCATGGGTGTCTGGCCCCATGTGCTTGGGCAGAAAATCATGGTGATAAGAATATGTGGTAGAGATGCTACTTCACCTCATTCGTAGGACACAGACAGAGGGGGATACAGGAAAGGCCTCAGGCAAGAAGTAGCTCCAAAGACATACCCCAAGGACCTACTTCCTCCAAAGACGCTGTGTGTGACCATCTTCCCAATAAAGCCATCATACTATGAATGGACCCAGGATTTAATCGTCAATGAGGCCAGAGTCCTTGCCATTTTACTATTGTTGGGAAGGCCCTCATAGACACACACACTCAGAGCTGTGCTTCCCTAATCTAGGCATTTCTTAGTAATCCAATCAAGTTGACAATCATTTAAAGAGCCTATTTCCCAACGTTTTCTTTTTGTCTTCTGTGGAGGGACCATAGGGAGTCATTAGCTTGACTCTATAATCTAAGTTTCAGAATGGTTAGCACACAGTTATTTGGGGATGATTTCTTATTAAAGGATCTATTACTGCCCAACGTTGTCAGTGCTTGTCACAATGTGATTACATTCACACCACTTAAACACTTTGTAGATCTTTCTGCAGATAAAGCACCTGTGGCATATTTAGAATTTATGTGATTTTTCCCAAAGACTGGACAGAAGTCTTCTGGGTGAAATAGTGGTTCTAGGAGGGAAATGGGTTGAAAGACAAAATGAGTGACTTTATGTGAAGGTCTCTTCTTATCTCTGGGCTGTGTCTGAGTTGCTTGTGAATTGTCTGTGTGGCTTTGGACATGCCCCATCCCGCTTTCTCAGGCATCAGTATCTGCCCTGACGAAATGAAGGAGGCAGAGATGGATGTGTTCTTACGTGGCTCTTTCCTTTCGCGTTTGCCCTTTAGCTCTCTCAACTTTGACTTCTGCCGCAGACGTTGCACTAACTGATCTAACCCTCCTCACCAGCTACCGAGAAACTTATCTCATCTGGCAACACATCGGCCGATTTTCAAAAAGTAAGTAGTTACTTTTTATCGACAGGATGCTATTTGATACTGACCTTTGGCCTCATGTGCCAGGAGATGTACGGGAAGTATAGACGCTCTTAGCCGGTGCTCCTCGGCCGGTGGGACTTCGGTGAAGGAGCCTCAGAATTCCTCTCCGATTTCACCTTCTAACCAAATACAGGACCTGGAAAATAAATTCATTTGCTCAGCAGCTGAACATAAAGTCCTTCTGTTTTTTTTTTTATCAGTTTGGTAGAAAATATAGTAAGAGTCTAAAATGCATTTTTATTATGAGGGTGCAGAGTATACAGAATTTTAAGGTGTTTTTGGCCATTTGTGATTTTTATTTTGTATACTGTGTTTTTTATCATTACTTTTTTATTGACTGACACAAATCTCTTAATTTGTTAGAGGTATTAAAAGTTGACACAGATCAAGAACTTCTCTCCAGCTGTCATATAAGCTTTAATTTGTGTAAGAATTTATTTAAGTCATTCTAGGAGGAAGATTTCTATTTGTAAGATTTTTATTAACCTACAGAATTTAAAACTATCACGTGGAAAGACTATACGTTTTCTTTGATGATTTCTTGTATATTTTATCACATTTCTTTGTCTAGGTGCCTAGTGCCATGAAGGCAGGAATTATGTGCTATTTTCACATCACTATCTTAATCTCAGGCACATGACTTGAAATGCAAAACATGCTTATAACTGTTTCTCAAACAAAAACAGCAAAACGCCATCATGGGAGATAGCTCAGTGGTAAAGCAAGCATGGGACCTGAGTTAGCCACCTAGAAATCTGCAAATAGTAGCCTACCTTTGTCATCCAGTACTGAGGAAGAGAAGTAGGTAGATTCCTGGGCTCACTGGCCAGCCTCTCGTAGCCTACTTGGCCAGTTCCAGACCACAGAAAGGCTTTGTCTCAAAACCAATGTGGACAATGTCCTGAGGAACAATATATGAAGTTGATCTCTGACCTCATCTGGCCTCCATATACATGCATACACACATGTATACACACACACACACACACACACACACACACACACACACACACAAACACACACGAGTTTACAGTATAAAGAGCATGTGGGGAGCAAATGTATTGATTAGCTGTTGCATGCCCTGATTAACTAATTGGGATCAATGTTCATACCTGCACTCTGCAAATGGAGGCTGGGACCATCTGAGATGCAGACTACTGGCAATGGACAGTCCATGTTAAAGTTACACAGAGAAACTGGAGATCACATCTATGGAATTCTCATAAATGGTCATAAGACATTGCCAGGGAAAGCACTTCTGTCCCAGGAAGAATAGATGTTTGAGTGTGTACTGAGGCACACATTACACCATAGTTCTTCTCCATGTCTCTTTAAAGATCCAGAGTCACTGAATTACACTAAACGTTACTAAGGAAAAAGATTGGCCAGGAATACAGGACATGTCTGTGACCCCATCACTCAAGAGGCAGAGCTAGATAAACCTGTCAGTCCCTGGAATTATCTGGAACATGGCTATCTGTTCACCTTGAAATCCTGGAGCCAAATTTAGAATCTTGTCAATAATAAGTCTCACTGAGCCTGTCTCAAAAATCTCTCTTCTCCCTCTCTCTGTCTCTCTGTCAGTCCTTCTCTGTCTCTTCTGTCTCTGTCTCTCTCTTTGTCTCTGTCAATGTCTGTCTCTGTGCCTCTGTTCCTCTGTCTCTCTGTTTGTCTCTTTCTCTCTGTGTCTGTCTGTCTGTCTCGCTCCCTTCCTCTGTCTTATCTCTGGCTTTAGGACATTTGGTTTTGAGTCACTTTTGAAGTCTGTGCTGTTTTTACAGGGATGCATCCTTGCTTTGAATTCCGGGAATGCCCATCAGGGTCTCACCCACACAGCAGCACTCTGCTGCGGAGCATCTCCCCAGACACTCTACTTGAGAAGTGTTAACTGTGGGCTTCTTCTGTGCTCTAGAGTGTGCCTTGACAAAGTAATAACGATCTGTTTTTCCACACTGGAGATTGGAAGTGATCATCATTACCATTCTACAGAACTAATATAAAAATTTGAGTGTAACAGCAAATGCCAGCAAATTGCTGGCATAAACACATTTGCTGGAATCTATATTTATACACTGAACAATCCATTTTTGGAAATAGTAAATCCAGAGCAGTGAAATCAAGGGAAAAAATCCACCTACCATCTTACCCTTGTAGATGGACATTGCCATCAATTTGGGATTCTTGGTTTTTAGACATTTTCTACCATGTAAGTGTTCATATGCTGTACATATGCATTTGTTGACCCGTGTATGTATTGTATACATTAAGGTCATGGCATAAGCTACCTTTTAAAATATTTGTAGGATATGCAGCTTTATTGAGATATATATAACTGACATGGTAAGTTGCACATTCTTAAGTTGAACAATCTGGCCAGTTTTGACACAGATATACATTCTTGTGAAACTATCACCATGATGGAGACAAGTTGCTCTGACGTTTCCACATAGTTTTGTGAAGAACTCATTTCCTCTTGTCTCCCACTGAAGCACCTACGTTTGTCATTGTAAGTCAGTAGGGATTTTGCAGAGCTTTATGGAAGGGACCACACCAGCATGTTCTCTGTCTCATTTGGTTCTTTCATTCCCGATCGCTATTTTTTAAATTTACTCAATGTGTTGCACGTATCAGTGTGTCTCTCTGTTCTCTTTACTGTTTGTGGTAGTCTCTTTTCAACACCCCTAGGAACTGAATATTGGTGATGTTTTTCCTCCTGATGCAGGACACTTGTGTCTTCCTCCTTTTTTCTCTTCGACCACCATGGCTAGAGGGGGACTGATCAACTTTCATGATCTCAAAACAAGCCAGTTTGGGGCGTCATTGATTTGTATCAATTGTTTTCCTGTGTCCTCTTTGATTTTTTTTTTCTGTCCTGATACTACTTCCTTTCTTCTAATGTTTTTGAAATTTCTTCATTCACGGTTTTTCTTCATGTCTTAGATGGTAATCAGTATCCTTCATTTGCACCCCCCATTCTCTCTTAATCCCAGCAGTCAGTGCTGTGACTTCCTCCTCATTGTATCTTGTCATTTTTGATACCTGTGTAGATTTTGTTTCAATTTAATTCAAAATGTATCTTCAATCTCCGAGTTGCATATTGGCTAAAGCTATATTATTTAGTTTGATTAATACTTCCCTTTGTATATACACTTCTGTTACTGATTTTATGATTTGACATCTTTTTGCTTATTGGCTGAAGGTATGTTATTTAATTTATGAATATTTCTGTTTGTGTATACCTTATGTTGCTGATTTTATGACTTAAGTGGACTATTGTCTCATAACATCTTTTGCAGTTATTGTATGGAGAATTCTTTGTCTATTTTGTTCTATCAATGTCAGTTATGCGACCTTGGGTGATAGTGTTTTTAAATCTTCTATATTCATACTGGTTTTCTATCTAGTCTATCAGCTATTAAAAGAAGAATGTTAAAATGTCTGGCTGTGATTCAAGATTCTTGTATCTTCCTTTAACTTTTCGAGTTTTCTACTCCTATTTCAAAGCTCTGAGATTAGGACCAAAATATGTATGTTTATTATAGTTTTAGATAGATTGACTCTTTATCGTTATTTAGTAGCTCTCTTTATTCCAGAACACACACACACACACACAATCTACTTTGAGAAAAATGAATATAGTATCCAAGTGTGAGGGCTCAAGCTTGCAATTCCAGCACTTGGAAGGGTATGGCAGGTGGTAGAGGACACATGATACAATACTTCTTTCCACGATGAAATGAATTTGTTCCTGTCAAATATGTAGAACAAACACGTAACAAGAGCACGCTTTATCTCATCAGAGTGGGCCAGATGCCTTTGAAGAGGGGTGGACCAACCGCCGAGAACGGAAGCCTCTGATAACAGAAACCCCAATGCTGCCAGCTTCCTGAGGCCACAGATGTCACAAGGCCCGCTGAGTAGAAGTTGAGCTTTTGACCTCGTTGTCAGGGTAACAGAGTGAAAAAAAAAAAGCAAGAAGGAAAGAGGAGTCAAGTCATTCCATCCTAGCAGGTAACCTTGGCTTCTACATCCCAGGCCATCCACAAGGAAACCAGCTGTGGGTTTCCATGGGAACAAGGATTCATTACTTGTCTCTTGCGACAGCGTCGACTACTTTAAAATGTAGCAGCTTAGACATCAAACATTACTATTTCACACAGTTCCTGAGAGTCTGGAATTAGAGTGAATTAGGTGGTGTTTCTGCCCTCAGAGTCCATCTCTGAAGACTTGAGTGGACCCGGAGAATTCACATCTATGCTCATAGAGAAGCTTGTAGCTCAGAAGCTCTTGTACCTGCCTGTCCAAGCACTCCACTGAGATCTCAAGATGGAGCATCTCTGAGAGTGAGCGAGTGCCAGAGGAGGGAGACTAGATGGTTTCATGTGATTGCTGCAACCCAGCTTTGTGATGGTCAAGCATTTCAGTTCATATTGGTCACACTGACGTACTCTGGTACAGTGTGGGGAGGTGGCTAGAAGGAGTAAACAGGAGAATTCATCTGGAATTGTCTTAGAGGCTTGCTAACACACCTGTTAAAGGCACCTTTCGTGGAGAGCTCGTGCTTAGCTTCCCAAGTGCTCATTCTTTCCTTAATCTAAGAATAGGCAGAGACAAGAATTTTATTAAAATGTGGAAAGATTTTTGCAAGATTCATAGAAACCATTAAACTTGAAGAGGTCCATATGTTTCCTTCCTCCCCTCCCCTCCACCCTCTCTCTATCTCCTCATCTCTTTCTGTCTCTCTTCGAGATAGAGAATGTAAAAATAAAAAATTTCAGATTGAGATTATCTTTTTCCAAGTGAGCATGCCCTTTGAGCATGACTCCTATCCTTCAAAACTCACAAGAAGTGCCTATGTTAACTCACATTCAACAGGATTTCTTCTGAACTTTGGAGCAGGAGTATGAGCGAAGAGTGGAGCCCTAGATTTCTTGCCTGGTTGTAAGTTGTAACTTTTTAAAGATGGGGGAAGGAGTTACTGCAGAGCATTCTTTCCTCTGAAGATCAGGTTAGCAAACTAGAGTTCAGTAAAGCAAGGAAGGACTCCGTTAAAGGCAAGGAAAGCCAGTTCAAGTCCTGAACGCAGGGAGATGTCCCCCTACTGTGGAACTGTAACAGTTCCAGATAAATTTACTACTCCGCTGTAAGCACAAAACAGAGCCGAGGTTTGATTCTCTGTGGAACGTTCTTGGAGAGGGTGTCATTAATTGGTGATTTGTTACAGATGCATGTTTGCTGTGTTTTCTCTCCCTCAACCCCCGAAACTCCTGGCTTATCTTTGATGTAAGGATATTTGGTCTTGAGACACTTATTAAGTCTGTGCTTTTTTTTTTTTTTGCCAGGTTGTGTCTTCGACTGTTTGTTTTTGATTCTAAGATGGTGTGTGTGTGTGTGTGTGTGTGTGTGTGTGTGTGTGTGTGTGTGTGTGTTTGCTTATGCATGCATACATACACAGAATACCTAGGGAGGCCCGAGGATAGCTTATGGAGGAGTCAGTTCTTTTCTTCCCCCATGTCCATCCTGGGGCTATAACTCAGGTTTTCAGGCTTAGGGACAAGTGCCTTCATCCACTGAGCCATCTGACCATCCTCAGAAATGTCTTTGATTGTTTCTGTTTTCATTAAGGAGAGCTAGCTTTAAGAGTTATAGTTCTTTCTACTGGATGGAAAAATGAGGGTATATCAGACTGGGTAGGGGCATCTAAGACCTTCTGGTCTGAGAAAAATTTCCAAGGTAGCTGGGCTAGACCCTCCTTGTGAGGTGGATATGATTCAGCAGTCTCTGAGAGCTACACTTTTCAAAGCCTTTACAAATAGACACATACCAAAGCCACATTAGGTTTCTAACATATATTTTTTTTCCAATATGACCTTTTATTGCTAGTCCTGGGGGACCTCAACATTGTTCTCTCTGGATTTTGATGAAGGCATTTAAAATACCACTACTCATGTACACAGTATCAAACACGTAAGTGTGAAGGATTAATAAAGACTGTTTTGAAGATAAATGACCACAGCAGAGATGGACCAGGTTTTTAAACACTGTTACTATCATACTCTTATGATAGTAAATGATATAAAGAGACCTAGAATTAGGGTGGAACCATAGGTCAACCACATCAGCAGGTGGGGTAAAGTTCCCCTCATGAGGAAAGACTATCATATTAGCTTGCTCTCTGTTGCTGTGGTAAACACCACGGCAAAGAGAATCTTGGGGAGGAAAGGGTTTATTTCATCTTCTACTTCTCTGTCACAGTCCATCACTGAGGAAAGTCAGGACAAGAATTCAATCAGGAGCCTGGAGGCAAGAACTGAAGTAGAGGCCATGGAGAAATGCTGCTTATTGGCTCCCTCTCCGTATTTGCTCAGACTGCTTTCTTATACAACGCAGGACTACCTGTCCAGGGGTGATGCCACTCACAGTGGCTAGATATTCCCATATCAATCATTAAACAAGAAGATGTCCCAAAGGCTTGTCCACAGGCCACTATGATGGAGGCATTTCTCATTTGAGGTTTCTTCTTTCCAGATGACTCTAGCTTGAGTCAAGTTGAGAAAAACAAAACAAAACAAAAACTATCCAATACAACCATAGTTTTACAACAAGCCATTCTAAATTTTAAAAAGATTTTGGTTGGGCTTGTCCACAGGCCTCTATGATGGAGGCATTTCTCATTTGAGGTTTCTTCTTTACAGATGACTTTAGCTTGAGTCAAGTTGAGAAAAACAAAACAAAACAAAAACTATCCAATACAACCATAGTTTTACAACAAGCCATTCTAAATTTTAAAAAGATTTTGGTTGTTGCAAATATCTTAATTTGAACTCTAAATTTTCATACCTATGAAATATCCCTCTCCACACACAATTCTATGGTGTTGCATCCTATGAGTGCAAGAATGTGTCTCATCCTTGTGTACCTTTGAATGTCTGGCACAATGTTGGGCATATCAGTTAGTGGGTGGTATGTGGTCAATTGCTTGTGTGTGATTTCTCCATTTCTCTAGCAGTGGAGAATAAATGGTAGGTGATGCCACAAACGGTCACACTGCACGTGGAGACATGGGGCAAGCAGTCGGGTTCTGCCATCATTTGCTTGCTGCCTTATCAGCTTTTACTTATGATGCCCTTAACTGCAGAGGTGATTTGGCTGAAATGGGGGTAACTGGTTTCTCCACACAAGGGCAAAAGAATTGAGTGAGATCAAAACTCAGGCTCTACCCCAGACTTGTTACTGACCAGACGTGACATCTGCTGAGTTTTCAAGAGCTCAGCCTGGTCAAATAAGTTCAAAGGGTTTTTATTTTGTCCATGTGTTTCATTTTGTTAGTTTTTTTAAAATGTAGTTGTGCCAAGTGGAATGTACATGTACAAGGCAGAAAACCTTTTAGTATTTATTAATGTAGATTACATTTACACAAGTTTTTTAATAGCAACAATACCCTTTGCATAAGAGATTTTTTGAGAGATAAAAAAGGTCCCCGTCCCCCGAATTACACAATAAAGTAAAAGAAAAACCAGGTTGTACCTAAAGCTCACATTCTTTCTCCATATGGAGGACTTTGGTTAATTATACATCCCAATGGCTTAAAAGCTACTATTGTTTCAGAAAAAAAACAGTTGTCTAGATAATTAAAGTCTGCCTATCCAATATTCTAGAACCATTAAAGTGAATCCATAAAATCTTTACTGCAAGGATTTGAGAGGCCACTTGGGAAAAAGGTGGAAAGAGCCCAGGTATGCGGGCTTCAGATTCTGATTCTGCTTGTGTAAGCCAGTGGCCTGGGTAAGATAATTACCCTCTGAGCATCCTGCGGCAATGGCCAGGGATAGCATGGGCCCAGTCAGCTCGCAAAGAGCTGGTTGCACACACTGAAGTTCCATCTGACATGTGCCAGAGTCTTCAAAACCTTGACACAAAAGTGTCAACGGTAAAACCAGCTGCAGAAACGTTCACTGTCACTCTCAGAGCACAACTGTAGGGAATTCGTGTCTATCTACCTGCTCTCGAAGGACATCGAGAGACCTACCACCTAGCAGGAACTGGGCTGGTTTTCCTGAGTCCTCACCAAGGAATGCAAATATACAGTTGAGATGATATGTGAACATCCATGGAGATAAGGTTAAAAGTGGAAGTACATTGGGGTCAAATCTCTCTAAAACAGGAGAACCAGCGGGGATGGTAACAGCTATTTCTTAGTTACAGGAGTCAGTTTCTGCCTTTCAGTAACTGGGTTCCTGTATCTTAACTGATAAGAAAACTGGGAGGTTTTAAAAGATAGGGTGGCTACCATATTTGCATAAAGCTACTAGAGAAATTACCTTTTAGAATTGAGACGTTTTGGTGGTGGGAAGCTGAGGAAGAAAGATGTCTAGAATCTCTGGCTAAAGGTGAGTGCCTTGGAGGTGCTTTTTAATATAAAAAATAGGCTTATCTCAAAGGGAAAAGGTCATTTGCTTGTGAGAAAAACAGTATTATTAATGGGGGGAACCCCAAGTTACAGAGTAACTTGATTGAGATCCTGAATTCTAGCATTTGAGATGGGATTTTTGTTCTAAAGTAGCGAGGAGGGCTGGGATGAAGTTGTGAAAGGCTAGGAAACTTTAGAGCACACATCTAGAGTGTGCATGGGTTCCTGAATCACCCCTGGAACCCACAATATTCTAGCAATGAAGTGATGAAGTGTTCCTGTCTGAAAGCGTTGTGTGAGAGGCTGTGGGGTAAGGAGGATGGATTTAAGAGGGACAACGAGGGATGGTGAGGAGGTGGGATGGTGTGGACCAGTCTATCTAGGAGTCAGGGAATCACCGAGAAATCCCTTGTGCCTGCTTCGACACCCTGGTTGACAGGCCCCCATCTTGTTTTGCTGAGGTTGTCGGGAAGTGTGTGTACAGAAAAAATGTCTGAACTGGTCCTAAAACTTTCCCATTGGACATTTATTTTCCATTGTGATTTTTTCAAACACTAAAAACAAACAAGAAACCAGATAGGAAGTGCACCTCTCTGCATCT